GTATAGCTATGTTTCAGGGTGGAACATTTGTTTTCATCACCTTCATAATGACTTGAATCTTAGATCTGAATCTAAGATGACCAAGACGTAACCTCAGATTTAATCCAGGGAGTTGATTTCCCCACATTATTAAATAGCATTTCTCTTTTTGTTTTTGGGCTGACTTGTAAGATTTCAGTTTTTTCATTGTTTAACTTTAAGAAATGTGTGTCATCTGCATAACTGTGACAACATACATTGTGCTCTCTAATGGTTATAATGGCCCAGGGTGAATACAGTGGTGGAGGCACACTCAGTGACAGTCTTGGAAAGCTCAGTTAATGTAATATTGGTGAATTTCCTGCAGGCGTTGCTGAGGTTATCTGTGTTTACATCAGCAGCAATGCTGTCTCTAACTGAAGTTATTTTGTTATTGAAGAGCAATGCAGGTGGTTCTCAATTTAATGAGTAGCTGCTCAATTAGTGGAGAATAATATTCCCCACAAGTTTTTCCAGCATTCTGTATGATAATCTTGAAAAAGGAATCTCTTCTTACCAGATGTATTGCTTTGTTAGTCAACCATGTTGTTGTAACCAAGTCTAGAATGTTACTATGCTGATGAGTGGCTTCATTTACATGCTGGGTAAGCTCATAGCTGTCCAGTTAATTCACAAGTGACGATTATCTCGGTGGCCAATACAATGTAATGATGATTCTGCTTTGAGCTCAGGAGCAAGATATTCAAGTGATGTAAATTCAGCCAGGTCAATGTTATTACACAAACTTAAAAAACAACAAGAAAAAGCATGATGGTCTGCAGAAGCAAACCCACTGGCAGGAAGTCTGTCAGGGGTTTTGCCTCTGCGTCAGTCTGTACTGTTGTGAGCGTCAGAGAAAGAAGAGGCATACTAACGGTAGATATTGTTAATTATACCCCCCGGGACTTCTCCCTGCACTTCACAAGCTTTCCTCTGCTTTATTTCTCTTACCCTGCAGACGGATTTAATTACATCAGCTCCTTCGGTGGGGCGAACGGCTCCTTGTTCCATTGATTTCTTCGTCTGAGTCTGTTTTGGTCAAAGATGAAGAGAGTGGTTGTGTGAGAGTCATCAGTTGTGGACGAATAAGGTGATAGAGAGCTTATAGGAGCTGATGGGCTGGCTGCGGAAAAAAGACGTGCTCCTCCAGAGCCTCTCCTGGGGACGTGGAATGAAACACTCTGCCCGGACCATCTTACATGGTTACCCACAGCTTCCTCCTTCGTATTTACACGGACCAGCAGACAATATCTAACCACAGACGCACACAAGCAATATATCAAAGAGCATGCTGCATAATACACACTGCAGCAGCGCCAAATCCTCTCTCAGGTATCAATCAGGCGGCAGAAGCTCGCACAGTGAGACAGAATGACTATAATGGCCCTCCCAAGCGCTCCTACATCCCGGTCCACTCGCTGACCTTTAGAAGCCACTTACACTATGGTCAGCGCTATCACACCCTCAGATAGATTACTCCTTCACTTCAATGGACACTGAGGCCCCATCATTACAGGCCCCTTCTCGCGGCTTTATACCCAATCATTTCACTTCAATCTGCAGCACATTGATGATGGCCATGCATTAGGGGAGCTAAGGGAATGACACCAGGGGGAGCTGCCATTCTTACCATCACCATAACCACTATCTGAAGCAGCCATCTCACAGAGTTGTGTAATGTCTGGGAATTGTTATTTGGCAGCTGGGAGATGGTAGATGGTGGCAGTGGTTGGGGTTATGTCGCATAAATGATAACTGTCTATAATGACAGTGTGAGGGTTTACAAGTGGGAATACAAGTTGAAAGTAATTTTTCTCCTGTGACCATAACAGTGTAATATCAGCACATGCTGTTCAGTGCTAATTATTGGAAAAACATGCATTTTTCCCCTAACTTTGAGATCAGGCCCTAAGCAATGTGCAGACAAAGTGTTTCAATGAAAGTTAAAATGAAAAATGTTGCACAATTCTTTACCTATCTGTCATGCTTTATTCACCAGACGTTTTCCATGGGGCTGCAAATAGCAATAATTTTATTATTCAGTAATCTCACAATCATTTTTCAGCCTCCATAATCCTCAATGTCTATATATGTTTTAATCCATTACTATACAAACAAGAAAATATATAGCGTGTGTGATGTCGGTCATTTGGATTCGTCCTCTAGAGACCGCGAATTTCCCAACAGAATGTACAAACTTTTAGGGGAATTCATCCAAAAATGATCATTTCACGCTGGACCTAGACTGACAGATTAACATTGCCATACCTAAAGCCACTCTGCTAGCTTGGCTAAAACCCCACAGGCATTTTACTATCACATAAAACAAAGAAAAGCTGCAAATTCCCCAGACTGAGACTTGGGATTTTTGCTTTAAAGATCAAAGAAATTTGATTATACTGTTTTGAAAAATTAGGTAGAAAGAATGAAGAATTTACTTTTTGTATTGAAAAATTGATGATTAAGATCATGTTGGTTGTTGTGATGTGTGTCTTCAATCATACTTTTCGTATGAACCCCTTTTATGTGTTAATAAGTAAATATTGTAATGCGTGAACTCTAATTTTGAAACAATAATTGTAATGTTGTTGCAGATATTTTGTGGTGTTTTAAATATCACATGGCTGATGGAAATATGCAGTATAAAGAAAATGAAACAACCTCAAAAACTATCCTGGGGCATGATAGCTGAAAATGTTTGGAGAAGACAGCATTGTAAATTGGGTAACATTTGTTTTATGTGTTTCATTTTGATGAACAAGATTCAAATTATAACATGAACCAGCTTTTAGAGCTTTTGAGATATATTCCTTTCTTCCTCTTTGTGCGTAAGGCAAAAATAAAACATAGTTGTATCCTTATTTCCTTCCTTCTGTTCCTTCACCTCCCTCTCCCTATTTTCATTTTACCTACATTGGTGTACTTCAGTATTTCTTTTACATTATTTCATCACTTTTCCTTTACTCATTTTGCTGAACAAGCGCTGACTTGGTATCTGAGATTGAAGCTTTGAAAATCAGACCATCACGTGACCTGAACCATTTCCACCAGATGCCTGCAATTTCAGACTCCATCTGACTTGACACCAATTGAAGACAAGGGTGATATATGGAGGAACGTCAAGAGAGTTTTTTCATTTCTGCTCCTTCTAGGTAAAAAACAAGTCGAAGAAACGGAGGAAGGGTTAAAAGCAGCGAGTTTAAGAGGCAGGGCCCTCATTTTTGAAGCGTCTCACATGTGTCTGCTAAAGATCAGGGTTGTCTCTTACCTCTAATTTGGCAGACTGGTAGTGTCACTCCCTCAACTTGCTCATTAGGTGCAGTTTGGTACAGCATTATCTTGATAAATGTTCCACCGCAGAATAGACTGATGAATCAGACAACGTATTGCACCATACAGACAGTTCTTCTCACAGTCAGTGAGATTACAGTGTGTGAGGTTGTAATGATCCATCGACAGGCTACGGGAGAGGTCTGACAGGTTATTCCAGACACTGTCAGTCCAAAGAAGTTTAGCAGTGATGCAGGGAAGGAGTAACTTGGAGTGTTATCAAGGACGTTTATGCACGTAAATTAAATAGCAAGTGGTTCCCAATGCAGTGGGGAACAACTGCCAGAGATCCCAGGGTGTCTCAGGAGAACAACAAAAAGTTTCACTGTATGAGAAGAAGTTTAAACTTTATTTCATTCAGCAAGAACAATTATTCCAACCAATTTCATCTCTTCATTTCAACACGTGGAAACACGTGAATATCAGTTCAGTAGTTATGAAGAGTACTATTCAGTGTGTTATCTGTCTTCTGTAATGTCTTTTAAAGGGACCTTTCTTAAATCAAACCCCTGATGTTATCTCAGTTTGGGCTTGACAGAAAGTCTGAGTTACAAACAGGGGATGTGGAGTTTAAAAGATGAGGGTACTCACAAGTCAGTGAGGGGCAATGCTGTGGTTCTTGCTTATGGTCACTTAATAAGAAGAGATATCACCTTGTGATGACTTGTCGCAGGTCTTGGTTTAGTCCAAAAATGTTGTCTATTCAAACAAGGTGAAATGATAAATTATTTCACGAGAAAGACGCAAAGACTGGAGAAAAAGTCAGAGACGTTAACGTCCAGGTGATCCCAGGTAATAAATCCTCTTAGATTAATCTTGGGACCCCTTGTTGGGGTCCAGACCACAAGTTAGGGAACTGATCTAATGAAAGATGAAAGAAGAGATCAAGTTGCGATGGGAAGTGAAGCATTTGTTTTTTAGGAGCTCGAGCCATACCAGGGACTAAAAGTCTGGCATTCTTTACGTTTGCTGCAGATTGTGACTGATTTGACTGAATAAATTTAGGAAAATGTAATAATAAAATGCAAGAATACCCTCTTCATAGGGTTGGATTTCTAAAGTGGACACTAAGTTGGACAGCGTTAAATGATTAACTGGATTAAAGTTATTTTTGTAGAGTTTAGTGGATAACATTTCTAATGAATGGTTTTTGATTTATTTCTAAATGTTTTAGGGCTATTCATAACTATTAAGAGACAGATATATGGTTGTACTGCATTTTGAAAAAATAGGTTGGAATTTGGGGTCAAATACATTAAGATTAATATATCAATGAAGTTTATATGTTGAATCTTGTAAAAAATATGTATATTAAAAAGATGGCTGTAATACTTGGTCATTATTGTAGTTTATAATTATTTTGTAAAGTCACATGACAAATTAATGGATTGTACAGGCCTTTAAACAAAAACCTCATGTAAATAATAATACATTTTATTCATCATTATACTCAAAGACACATCAAGGCACAGATCAGTTTTGAATAAAGCATAGTACGCCTTTATTGCAGAATGTATTGTGTTAAATTTTGATTGACTGCCACAGTAATAAAATATAAATCTTGCTTAAAATAACTGATGAGTGAGTACTAACATAGGGCCACAGATGAAAAAGTAATTCATTACCGTTAACTTGTATATTTAGTTTAGTATTATTTTAGAAACTTTGTCCAAAAATATGTAGATTATGCAACAACCCCAACCACTACCACTATCTGTCCTCTCCCAGCTGGATAATAACAATTATACATTAGCTTATTATGTGAGACACTTTATATACAACTGTAATGGCTTCTATAAAGTGTGGTTATATGAAACTGACACTGGTCTGAAATTCGCAGTTAGAAGTTGTAACTATACACATTACATAACTATAAAATACCACACTTAATTCAAAATATTATCATAGGAGGATCTTTTTACATGGAAAAGTGTAGCAATTCACAATACATAATCTAGAGTTACCTCTATCAACAAGCATTATTAACAAATAGGCAAGCAGAGGGCATATAATACAATCAGTATCCACTTGCACATGCAGCGCTGGTGCAAGGACACCACTGCTGTTGGACTTACATGGGACTGCTCCCATGCTCTTGCATGGAAACACTGGCTGTGCGTCGTGAAAGCGCCCTGCCCTGCTACTACTAAACCTCAGCATAGTCTTATCTTCTTGACGGGGACACAATTTTAATCATAAACCTGACCTCACAAATCCGTTTGTAGTTTTGTAATGTGGGGCGTGCGTGCTGCTAATCCCTGGATCCTCACAGGAGGACCATGATTTCTGGGACGTTGTTGCCGGGGGGAAGGTGGCGCCTGGGACCTGTTGGAAATGACAGCTAAAGAAGGCGGACTGAAGTACAGGGATCACAATAACAGTAAACGTAGAAGATAGCGAAGAAACTCCCTCGTATCACTGTGTAAAGGGTCGGTTTGTTATGTTTGACAGCATTAGCCAGATAGCTAATGATTTTCGCTGTGATCCACGACTCGCAAGCTAACGGGACCCAAGTGGAGTGCATGTGAGTGCATGCGTGTGCGTGTGCGCGTGTAGATGTTAGTGTGAATAACGTTATGTGTTTGTGCGTGTGTATGTGCGGCCGTGTGTCGCTGCTCTTATCTTCACTGTCCCTACCTGTCATGTTGGCTAGCATGCTAATTTCATAAAGCTAGTTGGCTAATATTGGCTAATAAAAGAAATTAGCTGACTGTGGGCGAGGAAACGTGAACACACAGACCTTATTACTGCAGGTCATATGGTGTAGTAACAATACCTTTACACAGCAGTCATAGAAACTATAATGCCGCCCGGACTAATTTGTAATATATCGCGAGCTATCTAACATTAATTAACTAGCTAATGTTAGCTGTGAGACGACAGGCTGGCTAATTTGCTCGGCTATTAGCTTAGCTGCTAGAAGCAGGAGAGCTTGACCTAGTTAGTTTGTTAGGGCAAAGGCCGTGTTTTCATTGCACTAGGCTTAGCTTTATTTACATGATAAGTTTTTGGCTTGTCAATTTTAGGGCACACTGTTTTATATAAGTATTTAACGTTGAACACGTTAACAGCCATTCAGCCGTGTTGCTTTAAGTTAAGTCTTTATAGACTCTGGTAACGTTATGCAAAACATTCCGTCCTGTCCACAGTAAGTTAAAGCATATTTTTAACCCGTTTCTAATGGCACGACCCAGGTATCTCACTTGGATACGTGCTAGGATAACATTACATGTAAAACAGAAGAAATGTCAAAAACCTTTTTTATTCAACTACCTGCTTAGTTTGCAGGTTTATTTTTGAGAAAGACTGTGATTTAAATCAGTGCAAGGGTGTAACAACGGAAAGTTATGTTTTTACAAATCTCTTACAACAGGTTAGGCTAGGCAACCTACAATAGTGGAGTAAAACATGCTCTTATTACCTAGCATCAGGTGGAATAACTGGATGTTGTTCAAAGCTGTCATTGCTACCCATCACACTTTCTGCTATTAAAGTTAAAGTTGGTTGTCCCCTGATATCATATGTTCCTCTGGGATTGCCCCACAAAGGCTCATGATTCGCATGAGGTTGGTGAAAACAAGTCGAGCATTATACAGCAATGAAAACATGCTGTGGGACATATCCTGAAAACCGATCAAATCTAACTCTGTGTTTTGTTCTAGGGTCTTACATTGTAAACCTCAAAATTATAGTTAAATTTGGCACTATGGCAGCATAATTCACCCCTCAGTGGACCCATATTGACTGTTTTAAGCATGGAAACAGAGCTGATGTGATGTACAAACCTACAAACCTTTCTCTTCTCTCGTCCTCACCCCACAGGGTTGTATAGATGGAGTCCCTGATGAGTGCGGTGGCGCCGCGCTCCCCGGCCCCCGCCAAGAAGCTATCAGAGGTGGACTTTCGGTCAGGGGCCACTCTGGAACAGCTGTCAGCCCAGGTGTCGGAGCTGGTACTTGTGGAACAGGGAGAGTTTGGAGACCAGACCGCCTTAGAGGTCCACACTGCCAAGGACTTTATCTTCAACATGCTAGGTATGTCTGCAAAAAAAATACACGGGTTAATAACGCAGTTTAGCCCAAAAAGTTTCTTGTTTTCAGTCCTCAAACTGAATTTTTAATACTGAACTACAACGGTGAAGGCTATCATAGGAAGCTTTTACTTTAGTTTGGCGTAACATGATTATGATGATGAGGGAGGAATGCTAACGCAGGAAAGATAGTTTCCCAGTGTCCATTCACAACTTAATAATTGTAATTTCTTACTTGGTGTTAGAAACTAAATCGCTTTAGTTACCAGCTGTGATAGATGTGCAGGTAACAATATGTTACTGTATGTAATATTTTCCTTTGTAAGTTTAATAGAATGTGACTTTAAAGCAGTACAAGCCTCTGGGTTAGTACTCATTTATTGCCTGAAGTTCAATTAACTATTAATACAACTAAGTACTTGTCGGAAGTTATAACCATATCACACTGCACGCACAGGTGGAGTATCTGTGGGTGTATATTTTCTACGTGAATGTGAGTGAACCTCTTTCTTACGACAGCAGCTGTATAACTTTGCAATTTTTGGGGGGAGGAATGTTTTCAGCTTGATATCACATACTAGATCATGAAATGTGTGTTTGCCCCATCTTAACACAGATGACACTCAACCATGTTTCTTCACTTTATGATCTTGCCTTCGCCGCTGTCTATTCTTCACCACTGTTTTAGAGTATGAGAAAAGGAAGAGTGTAGTGTCTATCTTTCCCCCTTTGTTTACCCAGGGTAGTGCCACTGAGAGCAGTGAGCAATGAATGAGCTTTCCTAGGAACGCCCCGCTGCACCACTCACACACTATAAGACACATTCTCACCTTTCAGCTGCCTAGTACTTATTGCTACTGAACATGTGTTAACATGCAGTGAGCTCTGCTTGTGCTAACAGTACATTTTATGGCATGATGATTAAAATGATTTTCATACCGGAACAACTTGTTAAGCCAAATCCATAGTGTCGTGTACTGTATATCTTTGTTGTCATGCTATTTTTACTAGTATACATGTCTCTGTATATTCAAATGGTGTTGCAGTGGTAGAGGCAACTTCAGTAAGTTTCCAATAGAATATTTAGTGTACAGGGTTCCTGCTTAGAGGAATTTTTGGCACCCCCCCAAAGAGGTTTTAGCAAGCGCCAAAGGAAAATCACCAGCGCCAAAATGATCAGAATTGGAAAAAACAAAAAGCGTGTCAAATATTCTCCGAATGTGTTTCAACAGCCATTTATCAAACAACTGTAGCAGAACAGAAACAGCTGCTGTATTTTACACATGCAGCTTGCGCTGGATTTATTAACCAGAGAGATGACTTCCAGTTATTTCTCACAATATAAAAGCTGTTTGTGCTTGAAGTGAGCCGGTATTCACCAAAACTGTCTCTTTTACATTTTACTCTTTGGCATACCATCTTCTCTGCCATCTCCAGATCAGGTTCTCTGGGCACTGCACGACGCTCACCTGTTCCCATTCTCTCCTGCCTGCTAATCTCAGCAGGGAGATCTGGAGCCTTTCATGCAGCTGTGTGCGTTAGTTGCTCGTCAAACTTGTGAACTGACCAATCACAGCCTGGTGTAGGCGGGACATTAAAAAAAGGTTGAAGCACTACAGCAAACTTGAGAAATGTTAAACTCATTCTGTATGCACGGTTTTTATTTTTGACGTATTGAAGTTAGCACTTTGCCTAAACAAATGAGAGACTAACCACCATGTAGAGCATTTTTCTTGCATAATAATTTAATGACTTTTTTTGTGAAACAGCTGAATCTCAACTGATAAACTATCTTCAGGCAGATTATCCAAAAAGTGTAACCTGTAAATATATTAACTAACATTATACTTTCTATTTAATGTTATAATATTTATTAATAAACTAACTTTACTCCTCCTGGTTGTGGATATATTGTGTTTATCAAATGGTCAGAAATAACAAGAAACTGCATAGATTTTGGTCATAAGGTAACTCATTGCCTTTACTGTACACGTACCGATCATGCTTACTGTCGCTTGAAGTCACCCCCCAAAGGCCCATTGTGAGCCAGGGAAAACCCTGGCGTATCAGGAGCTTTTACTGGAAGGCATGAAATATATAAAAAAACATTGTGCTTTATGCAAATTGATGCCAAAGGGAACAAGGAAGCAAAAGGTCTGACGTTGACAAGTCCTGCTTTCTCTGGAGGCGCCCTCACATGCAGCTTTGTATTTCAATCTTAAAGTGATTTTGTTTGGATTTGATAGAAAGTCTGGTCAGTGGTTCGTCAGACGGAAGTGGGCAACAACCAGCAGGACTGAGCTGGCAGGAAGGTTTTAAACCACAATGCAGCGTAAAAAAAAAGTTTGAATCACCTACAACACAAGATATTTAGAGACTTTAGTCTTAGACTTCAATTGTAGGCATCATAGAGGTTCTTTTTGATTTCTTACTTGCAGTCTGGAGAAAAGCTACGCCAAATTTAATTTAGGCAAAAAGGACATAGCTGCAAAAATCGAATTTAAACGGGATGAGACACGTTTTCTCTTTTGCAGACCCACTTTATGACTCCAGTTGTGAGACGGCATGTGTGACAAACACAATCAACACTTTGTGTGCATTGAAATGACGGGCCAGGTGCAATATCTTCAGTTGAATCCCCTGACATTATTATCACATGTTTGTTTCCTGTCTTGTCTTTATACAAAATGAAAGGGCTTATCATTTGGGGCCGCCTCGATGTAATTATTTGAAATGTGAATATTTGGTGTCTTTTAAAAATGCAAATTTGATTGGGATTATTATTCATTGTGGGTGCTGCTCTACTCTCTCTGTCATCCACGCTGACTGACTTTCATGCATAACCTGAACTAGTGAGAGACGAGTTTGCAAAATGAGACGTGGAGCTGTATCAAATGGATTGTTTTTTTGTTTTTTTTTCATTGTCAGATGTGAGTAAAGAGTGAAGAGTGTTTGTTTGTCCAATAGGTGGCACTCTCCCCCCTCCCTGCTGTCCCCTGCCACCCCTGTTCTCTCATGTCACTATCAGCCTGTCCATGTACAGTGGAAACAAAACATGGGAGGCCAGCACCCTGAAACTTGTGTCCATTTCTTTTCTAGCTTCTCACTTGACTCACTCCTTTGTTGTTATTTCCCAGTTGTCCTCTTGTCAGTGTGTAAGAATCAGCCACGGCGAAAAACATTGCATTGTGCTCAGCCCACAGCACTCAGTTTCACTATTACTGTCAAATTAGTAGCATTGGTTGACAGGCAGTGCCTGTAGATTTCAAAATGGCTTAATCAAACCGGCTATCTTGCCCAGGGAGAAATCACACAAATCAAAATGGCACCCAGGACTGTTTTTACTCATTTTACTGTTATCGGCACATTCCACAGAGATTCCCGTCTCTGCCTAAACTTTTTCTCACAGTTTTTCTGCCTTTTTGTCTGCTCCCACTCTCTTAGTTGAGAATTTCTAACTTTTTTCCAGTTTTGAGCCTGCTCTCTCTGGCATAATCACCAATGGTTTGCTGGTATTTTCATACCCTGTGCCTCGCCTCCCCCGCTGTGACAACTCTGACTGAAAAGGAAAAGTTTGGCGCCTTCAGCTGAGGGAGACGGGTTGTTTTGGATTCCAGGAATTCAAAGTTAAGTACGCTGTGGTAGCTGCATTAGGAGCTCTATGCCTATCCCGAGTCCCCGTGGCAGATGAAAGGCAGCACAGAAAAGCAAATTTCCTCATGATAGAGCGGCCTTGTTACTTCTGGGGGAGGAGGCGTGTCATAGCTGCATAGGGGTGTGCATGGATGCTGAGTGTGAGCGGCTGTGGCTTTTTTTGTTTTTATAAAGTTTGAGCTGCAGAGGGCTCCTCGCTCGGCTTTGCACGCTGCCAGAGAAAGGGGGAAAAGAAAAGGGATTAAACTCGCAAACACATACTCACAAGTGCACCCAGTGAATTTCTTCACAGCCTGACAGATCCGGGAAGAGGCTCTTATTTACCCTGCGTTTGAGTAAACACTGTTGTTTGCCTTCAGGCAAGCATGGCGGGGTCTACTGTATAAATCGTTTGAAAAACAAAAGTGTGATGAAGGCAGAAATAAATCCACACTGCCTGCGAAGCAGACGATCTGGTGCTAGGCCCAGACATACCCTAACCCGACTTTTCAGATCTTAAAGTTTTCCAGCCAGCTTGAAAGAGTTCAGTTCAGAGTTTATCTCCCCCCTGATGAAGAAAATGGATACTTTTGATCCAAATTCAAGAGCGCTTCATGAGTGCTGTTGTGTCTCGGCTCAGATTTAGACATTTTTATGTGTGAAAATAAACCTGATACATGTTGAAGAGAAAAGTAAGTTATGACCATGCTCCTCACTATATCTGACATTTTGAGCTAATCGGCATTAACCAATACCTGCACTCATGACGCTGATACACAAAAAATGTCTGCGGCAAGGCTCTACACTAAGCTTTTTCCCAAGGAGCACATGTGCTCCTACATGAAAAAATTTAGGAGCGTTTACGGTTCTACATTTGTTTTTCACTGCTAGAGAAAATTGGTGTGTGGACAATGTCAACTGCGTGAGACAGCTTTTAACCTGACGAGAAATCTTGTCACATTCTAATCTCAGGAGATCTCGTGGAATGAGATGTCGCCACACCCCTAGTACTTTTCTATTATAATTAATTGATAAAAATTCTTTCTTACTGGCTAAGACAACAATGTATATTAGATCGTGTTCTGCATTGAATAATGACATTTCTTTCTTTTGATATGGGCATTAAATACCAGCCATCGACCGCCCTGCTCTCTAAATATCTGCCATTGAAAAACCCATATTGGTCGATCACTACTCCTAACTGAGTTTTTCTCTTTATTCAGTGTACCAGATCTTCTCTCTGTACCACAGTGACCTCTACTTCTTGCCTTCCTGTTGGGCTTCTTACATCAGCCCCTTTTGTTTTCCACTGTTCTTCCCACTTAGGCCACTTAGCTCGATGCACGTTTGGACTTGAACAGTGATAAGTGG